TCCATACCTAATACAATGAGGCAGGGAAAACAAAAAATAACATTTGTCCTTTAAGCACTGCACGCTTGAAGTCTGAGAAGATAGGTCAGCAGAGACCCAAACAGAAAAAGAGGCCAGGTTCTGAGAAAAGCAGACATCCATTTTAGGGCAAAAAAAAACCCCTCTTATAGCTATAATCAGTTAATGGAATGTGGCTCTTTGTAACAAAGCCTTCAAGGTATAGACTGGGATGGCAATTATCTTCCCCAAAGTGTCAGTCATGGGTAACTAAAAAATCAGTAACAATATTAATTAACAAATAAGGCTAGATTTGCTAGTTTGTTTGTTTTTAAGATTTTATTTATTTATTCATGAAAGAGAGAGAGGCAGAGACACAGGCAAAGGGAGAAGCAGGCTCCACGCAGGGAGCCCGATGTGGGACTTGATCCTGGGACTCCAGAATCACACCCTGGGCAGAAGGCAGGCACTAACCGCTGAGCCACCCAGGAGTCCCCAGGAAGGCCAGATTTGTATTCCATGAGTTCCTTTGGATTTTATGCCTCTGTGTGGTTTCTCCTTGTATCATGACAAATTGACTGCATAGAGATCACTCTTGACTTTTGTGGAACAAGTGATGAGGAGCCCAATCTGCACGCTCCTGAAAACCCTCAGATGTCTGAGCAGAGACCAGACAAAAAATGCTCAGAGGCAGTCACACACAGTTCCAGGGGGCTCTCAGAACCCCAAGTGCCATCCAGAGATTTTGAAACCACAGGTTAAGAATCTCTGTTCTACAAATGGCATTTTTTTTTTTTTTGCAGGAATAGAAAAAAAAAAAAATCCTAAAATTGATGTGGAATCTCAAAGGACCCTAAACAACCAAAACAGTCTTGACCAAGAATAACAAAGCTTGGAGGCCTCGCACTTCCTGATTTCCAAACCTGTTACAAAATAACAGTAATGAAAATGATATGGTATGGACAAAAAGACATATTATAGACCAATGGAGCAGAATCAAAAGCCCAAAAATAAACCCTCACATCTACGCTTAACTGATTTTTTAACAAGGGAGCCAAGACAACACAGTGGATAAAGGATATTCTTTCAAGTGTTGGAAAAACTGGATAACCACATGGAAAATGAATGGGCTCTTACTTTATACCATCTACAAGAATGAACTCAAAATGGATTAGAGACCTAATATAAGACCTGAAGCTATATATCTAGAAGGAAACATAAGGGGAAAACTTCATGATATTGGACAGGCCATAATTTCTTGGATACAATACCAAAAGCATAGGCAAAGTAAAAGGAAATGAAACAAAAATAAAAAATAGACAAATGGGACTATATCAATTTAAAAACTTCTGTGCAACAAAGGAAACAATCAACAGAGGAAAAAGGCAACCTATGGAAGAGGAGAAAATATTTGCAAAGCATATATCTGACAAGGGGTTAATATTCAGAATACATAAGGAATTTCTACAATTCAACAACAAAAAAATAAATAACCCAATTTTAAAATGAATAAAGGACTTGCATAGACATTTCTCCAAAGATGATATATAAATGACCAACAAGCATATGCAAAGATGCTCAACATCATTAATCATCCAAGAAGTGCAAATCAAAACCACAATGAGAATGTAACCTCATACCCATTAGGATGGCCACTATAAAAAAATAAAACAAAAACGAAACAGAAAACAAGTGTTAGTGAGCATATGGAGATGTTGGAGCCCTTGCACACTGTTGGTGGGATGGTAAAATGATGATCAGAAACAGTGTAGATGTTCCTCAAAAAATAAAAATGGGGGGATCCCTGGGTGGCTCAGCGGTTTGGCGCCTGCCTTCGGCCCAGGGCATGATCCTAGAGACCTGGGATTGAGTCCCACATCGGGCTTCCTGAATGGAGCCTGCTTCTCCCTCTGCCTGTGTCTCTGCCTCTCTCTCCCTCTCTCTGTGTATCTCATGAATGAATAAATAAAATCTTTTAAAAAACAAATAAAATAAAATAAAATAAAAATGGGGTGCCTGGGCGGCTCAGTGGTTGAGTGTCTGCCTTTGGGTCAGGTTGTGATCCTGGGGTCCGGGTTGGAGTCCTGCATCAGGCTCCTCACAGGGAGTCTGCTTCTCCCTCTCTACCCATGTCTCTGCCTCTCTCTCTGTGTGTCTCTCATGAATAAATAAAATCTTAAAAAAATAAAAAATAAATAAATAAATAGAACCACCATATGATTTAGCAATCCTACTTCTAGGTATATATCCAAAAAGAATTTAAAACAGAATCTTGAAGAGATATTTGCACATCCATGTCCGTTGTAGCATTACTCACAATTGCCAAAATGTGGAAGCAACTGTATGCAGGGATGAATGGATAAACAAAGTGTGGTATATACATACAATGCACTATTATTTGGCTTTAAAAAAGAAGGAAATCCTGGCATGTGCCACAACATGGGTGAACCTTGAGAACATTATGCTAAGTAAATAAGCCAGCCACAAAAAGACAACTACTGCATGATTGCACTTATATGAAGTATCTAAAGTAGTCAAACTCATAGAAACAGAAAGTAGAATAGTTGTTGCCAGAAGCTGAGGAAAGGGAAATAGAGAGTTATAGTTTAATGGGTTTGGTTGCAGTCAGGCAAGATAAAGAAGTTTTTGAGATCTGTTGGACAACAATGTGCATCTGGTTAACAGCATCGTACAGTACACTTAAAAAATTGTTAAAAAGATGGTAAATTTATGTCATGTGTCTTTTACCACACAGAGACACAAAAAGCACTCCTTGTCTAGGAATCTTTCCCTTTTTTTTCTTTAAGGTTTTATTTATTTATTCATGAGAGACACAGAAAGAGAGGCAGAGACATAGGCAGAGGGAGAAGCAGGCTCCCCGTAGGAAGCTCAGTGTGGGACTCGATCCCAGAACCCTGGGATCACGACAGGAGCCAAAGGCAGATGCTCAACCATTGAGCCACCCAGATGCCCCTAGGAATCTCTTCTGATGCTGCTCTCACTGATGTTCCTCAAGCAGTATTCCCCAGCCAGGCCCTAAGACACTAATTTTCCAAGTTCTTTCTAGAAAAGGAATGTAAAACTGAGCTTTCTGCACACTTCAGGGGCTGAATGCTGGAAAATAAACTATTCCACATTCGAGGGGTCAGGTGTGGTGACCAGGGAGCTGATTTGTGAGTAAGGTCACAGCAGTGTTGAGTACTCACCCGGAGGGTGGGAGAGGCAGGGCTAAGGGGAAGCTGCCCCGAGGAAGGGCACAGCTGAGGGCAAGGGCACTCACTGTCCAAGGCCGGCTGCCACTCCACAAGCTGTTGAGTAGCCTGGAAACACAGAGTGAGGTCACCAGGACAACTGAAAAAGCCCCCACAGCAGTGGAGGGACAATGTGAGCAGCTGGGACTCTCAAATGGAGAAGGGGCCTTTAGTTCTGGGAATGATGTTTACCACATTGAATGGGACTCCAATGATAGATGCACACTATTTTAAAACACCAACACTGGGGTGTCTGGGTAGCTCAGTTAAGCATCTGCCTTTGGCTTGGGTCGTGGCCCTGGGGTCCTGAGGTCCTGGGGTCCTGGGATCTAGCCTGGTATTGGACTCCTTGCTCAGTGGGGATTGTGCTTCTCCCTCTCCCTCTGCTCTTCCCCCAACCCTGCTCAGGCTCACTCTCTCTGTCAAATAAATAAATATTTTAAAGTAATAATAATAAAATAAAATAAAACAGTATTACTGGTAAATTGCTTAATATTTGATCCTCGAGAGGGTTGAAGGTAATCACTACTTTTGACTCTGTTGAGACAGACTTTAAAGTTGGATCCTATGTGGGACGCCTGGGTGGCTCAGCAGTTGAGCATCTGCCTTCAGCTCAGGGCATGATCCCGGGATCTTGAGACGGAGTCCCGCATCAGGCTCCCCACAAGGAGTCTGCTTCTCCCTCTGCCTATGTCTCTGCCCCCTCTGTGTGTCTCTCATGAATAAATAAATAAATAGATAAAAATATTTAAAAGTTGTATCCCATGAAACTTTGTAGGTTTTCTAATTTTCAGGCCCTGCCACAAGGAAAAAAAATATAGCATATTTAGAATATCTTTCAATTGATCAATAGAACTGTAGAAAACATGATTAAATGCTTTCCAGAGTAGATTAGGAAAGGATGAATCTTTTATTGCCCACCATATGTTCAGCCTGGCCTCTCCCCTTGACTTCATGACAGTCGGGTCCCCCACTTCATGATCAGTGCTTACATCACAAGGAAACTCTACCTTGAGAAAGTCAAACACGGTAAAAAATGCTCATGGAATAAAACTGCCCAACTGCTTCAGTCCTCACAATGTGGGAAAGTGACTTTGGACAAATCAAGGAATCATTACATGTGCTTGACGCCGCAGAAATTACTAGGTAATTTGCTATATCAACCTGTATCTGGGAAGCCTCTGGAACAGAGTCATTCTAAGCTTAAGACCCCAACTCAGTCATTCTTCAAAAGAAAAGTAAAATAGAGAAGGAAACATGAAGAGCTATCAGTGAATGCCGGAGCCTGGTATTTCATACCCTTGAGAAATGGACCTCAGTTAAAGGAGAAGAAAAAATGCCCAGATCTTTGATGGCAACTTACTACTCAACATGAAGCTAATGACACTTCCGCTAATAATTATTATCCTACTGCAAAAACCAAAACAAAATTACAAGTTCAAACAAAATCATCAAACAATCCAAACTGAAAGCATTAATTTTATGGGATAAATGATACTGTGTTGCTGTGGCCCAATTCTGTCCACCTGATTTTGCTGCTGACTTCTGGGGTGCAGGTTCTTTAGTTCAGGACTCTTTGTCCTACTAATGTCCCTGCCACTTCTCTTCTTTTTGGTGTTGTCACCATTTCCACATTTCATCTGTCTCTGGTTTTTTTTATTATTATTATTTTTTAAAGGACTAGGTGTGGAGCCCAATAAAGGGCTTGAACTCACGACCCCGAGATCAAGACCAAAGCTGAGGGGCCCGGGCTGGGGGGGGGGGGCGCCCAAGATGGCGGCGGGCGGCGCGGAGGGCGGCTCGGGCCCCGGCGCCGCCATGGGGGACTGCGCGGAAATCAAGTCGCAGTTCCGCACCCGCGAGGGCTTCTACAAGCTGCTCCCCGGCGATGGCGCCGCTCGCAGGTCGGGTCCGGCTTCCGCCCAGACCCCGGCGCCGCCCCAGCCGCCGCAGCCCCCGCCCGGCCCTGCCTCCTCCTCCGGCCCCGGCGCCGCGGGCTCCGCGCCGTCCCCGCCGCCCGCAGGCCCGGGGCCAGGGCCCGCGCTGCCGGCCGTGCGCCTCAGCCTCGTGCGCCTCGGGGAGCCCGACAGCGCCGGGGCCGGGGAACCGCCCGCCACGCCCGCGGGGCTCGGTGCCGGAGGAGACCGCGTCTGCTTCAACTTGGGCCGCGAGCTCTATTTCTACCCGGGCTGCTGCCGACGCGGGAGCCAACGGTCCATTGACCTCAACAAGCCAATTGACAAGCGGATCTATAAGGGCACCCAGCCCACCTGCCATGACTTCAACCAGTTCACTGCTGCCACAGAGACCATCTCCCTACTGGTGGGGTTCTCAGCCGGCCAGGTGCAGTACCTGGATCTCATCAAGAAGGACACCAGCAAGCTGTTCAACGAAGAGCGGCTGATCGACAAGACCAAGGTGACATATCTGAAGTGGCTGCCTGAGTCAGAGAGCCTGTTCCTGGCCTCACACGCCAGCGGCCACCTGTACCTGTACAATGTCAGCCACCCCTGCGCCTCGGCCCCGCCCCAGTACAGCCTGCTGAAGCAGGGCGAGGGCTTTGCCGTCTACGCTGCCAAGAGCAAGGCGCCCCGCAACCCTCTGGCCAAATGGGCAGTGGGCGAGGGGCCCCTCAACGAGTTTGCCTTCTCGCCCGACGGCCGGCACCTGGCCTGCGTTAGCCAGGATGGCTGCCTGCGCGTCTTCCACTTCGACTCCATGCTCCTGCGGGGGCTCATGAAGAGCTACTTTGGGGGCCTGCTGTGTGTGTGCTGGAGCCCAGATGGGCGCTATGTCGTGACAGGTGGTGAAGATGACCTGGTCACCGTGTGGTCCTTTGCTGAGGGCCGTGTGGTGGCTCGAGGCCACGGCCACAAGTCCTGGGTCAATGCTGTGGCCTTTGACCCCTATACCACAAGGGCCGAGGAGGCAGCGGCGGCCAGCGGTGACGGTGAGCGGAGTGGCGAGGAGGAAGAGGAGCCCGACGCGGGGGGCACGGGCTCAGGTGGGGGAGCCCCCCTCTCCCCACTGCCCAAAGCCGGCCCCATCACCTACCGCTTCGGCTCTGCTGGCCAGGACACACAGTTCTGCCTGTGGGACCTCACCGAAGACGTGCTTTACCCGCACCCGCCCCTGGCCCGTACCCGTACCCTCCCTGGCACGCCTGGCACCACACCTCCCGCCGCCAGCAGCTCCCGGGGTGCCGAGCCAGGCCCCGGCCCCCTGCCCCGCTCACTGTCCCGCTCCAACAGCCTCCCACACCCGGCGGGCAGCGGCAAGGCAGGTGGCCCCGGCACCGCCACGGAGCCGGGCACACCGTTCAGCATCGGCCGCTTCGCCACACTCACACTGCAGGAGCGGCGGGACCGGGGATCGGAGAAAGAGCACAAGCGCTACCATAGCCTGGGCAACATCAGCCGGGGCGGCAGTGGGGGCAGCGGCGGGGGGGACAAGCCCAGCAGCCCCACCCCCCGCAGCCAGCTGGACCCAGCCAAGGTGCTGGGCACTGCGCTGTGCCCGCGCATCCACGAGGTGCCACTGCTCGAGCCCCTCGTGTACAAGAAGATCGCCCAGGAGCGCCTCACGGTCCTCCTCTTCCTGGAGGACTGCATCATCACCGCCTGCCAGGAGGGCCTCATCTGTACCTGGGCCCGGCCGGGCAAGGCGGGCATCTCCTCCCAACCAGGCAACTCCCCGAGTGGCACAGTGGTGTGAAGCCATGGATGTCGGGGTTCCTCACCCATGTTCCCTGCCTCCTAGCCATAACCCTCCCGCTGACCTCACGGATCAATGTATTAACAAGACTAACCATGATGGATGGACTGCTCCAGTCCCTTGCCCTGCACAAATATGGGGGTCAGAGGGCCCCCCAGACTGGCCCAGACACTTGGGGGGATGTAGTGGCCCGTGTGGCCTCAGCCTTGTCCCCACCCACTGCCAAGTACAATGACCCCTTCCTCTGAAACATCAGTGTTCGCCTCCTCCCTGTCCCCAGCATGTGACTGGTCACTCCTGGGGGAGAAGCTCCCCACCCACAAGCTCTGCAATGTGCCCCTCATCCTGTGGGCAGGGTGGGGGTGGCCCACCCCTGCCCTGGCCCCCACCCTGCCCCTGCTGTTGTTTGTGCTTTTGAAGAGTGTTAAATTATGGAAGCCCCTTGGGGCCCTCCCTGTCAAAAAAAAAAAAAAAAAAGACCAAAGCTGAGACAACAGTTGGATGCTCAACTGACTGAGCCACCCAGGCGCTCCTTTTTAAAATGTAAGCTCTACACTGAAAATGGGGCTTGAACTCATCCCCAAGGTCAGGAGCGGCCTGCTCCACCAACAGAGCCCGTCTCTGTTCTTTTCTAATCAGAATAGAACAATTTGGGTGGAGCTGCTTGGCATCATCTCTGCTGTAAATGCAAACTCAGAAGCTGATATGGTTGGTGTGGCGGTACTCGATTCTAAAGTAAGTTGTTCAAACTCTTAGGGGTACTATACAATAATTTGCTTACGTTACCATCAACACTGAACATTCAAAATGAGAAGACTCCCTAGAATATTTCCTTGGGTCTTAGTGTGACAAAACTTCCACAGCCTAAACCTTTGGCTTTTAACTTTTTTTTGTACTGCAGCTCCCTTTGGAGCTGGTGAAGCCACAGAACAAGGTTTTGTATTTAAAAAATGGAAAGGACTGCAGAGGAAACCAATTATGTTGACATTTAGTTATCAAAACATTAAAAAATAGAACTGTGATCATGATTTATCCTTCTTCATGAACACATTAAGGATCTAATGGCAGGTCTAATAACTTGTAATTTCTAAGTAGTGATGAGTATAATCGATGGGTTGTAATATCTTCAATGACTGTGAGGTGATATGAAAATATCTATGATTTCTATGACAAAGTCACCGATTTTACCACTTCATAAAATGATGAATTTACAATATCTCATAAAATATTTCATGCATTTCAGAAGAGGTTTATGAAAATAAATATGTAACTTTTTCTCACAGACCCCTAAGGCATCCTGAGGACCTCAGGCAAGGACCCTTGACCTAAATCTTACTCAAATCAAACTATCAAAGTTATGCACACATATTCAAGATTAACTGTGGGCTTGGATGTTTAAGGAGCTGCTGCAGTACATGCATCATCCATCTGTCTCCTTCCACAGAGGCACACAGTCAGGACCCAAACCCAAAACTGTTGGGTCAGTAGGTCTCTGTACCTCTGTAACACTGTGCCACAAGAAGCTGAACTGTCCTGGCAGAGTGAGGCTCTTACCTGGATCTTTACCTGATACCCTTTTCCCTTCAAAGACTCACTGCAGGGTGAGGTAGGTGTCCTCCTCTTAGTTCTCTGGAACCTGGGAACCCCTCCCAGGGAAGAGTCCTACATTCTGTAGTGTACCTGTGTGGCTCTCAAACCAGGAGGGAAGGCCCTAAAGACAGTCTACTCATCCTCTATGAGGGGGTATGTGCCAGGGGGTGGGGGACTCCCCAGAGCACCAGGACCCTTTTGGTTGTTAGGCAACTAGGCATAAGGAAGCAGGGCCAGGAGACCTCCAGAGTAAGAGATACCCAGCCAGTCCCATGATTGCCCTCTCTACCTACCCTCTGGCTGGGAAGGGTTGAAATGCCCTAGGGTTGGTTGCTAGGCAACAGGACAGAATTCACTGATGATGGTCTCCAGAAGATTGTTACACCCTTGGTGTATGTGGCATGTGGTACATGAGAGAGAGAGAGAGAGAGAGAGTGTGTGTGATGTGATGCATTACTTCCCCTGGAGGTCTAGAAGGAGGCAGAAAAAGTCAAATTTCTAAAAGAGCCTAAAGGAAAAAATAAACAGCCTAAAGGAACTTTGGAGGGTTCTCACCATGGCTGACTCAGAGGCCAGAGCTCACTGCAGAATCTGTTGGAGATGCCCCCTTCCCTGGGCTATACTTCTCCCTTTACCAACTCCTGTCAAAATCTGCTGTCTATTCATGGCCAAGGTGCAAAAGGGAACTGAGAACAAATCTATCCTAAGAATCCACCTGAGGGGGTGCCTGGATGGCTCAGTGGTTGAGCATCTGCCTTCAGCTCAGGTTATGATGTTGGGTCCTGGGAATAAGCCCTGCATCAGGCTCCCCGTGGGGAGCTGCCTCTCCCTCTGCCTGTTTCTGTGTCTCTACCTCTCTGTGTTTCTCATGAATAAATAAATAATAATTTAAAATCTTAAAAAAAAAAAAAAAAGAACCCACCCGAGAAGACTTCACAGCTGCTCCTGGCAGTGTGGAGTGTGAGCCCAGACCGACCCCTGAGCACTCTGCATCAGTCTGGGTCAGCCTCAGTAGCTGTGTGACAGCCCTCTCTGAGCCTCAGACTCCATTTCTGGAAAATAGAGTAGTAAAATCCATCAGAGAGCCAAGAAAAAGGTCAAACATGCAGGTCAACCTGAACCTAACCACAAGGAAACCATCAGAAAATCCAAACTGAAAAAAAAAAAATCCAAATTGAGGGACATTCTGCAAACCACTGTTTTGAATGCTTCAAAATGTCAAAGGCTTGGAAGACCAGAGGAAAAAAGGGTGAGAAACTTTTTTTTTTAAGATTTTATTTATGTATTTATGTATTTATGTATTTATGTATTTATGTATTTATTTATTTATTTATTTATTTATTTATTTATTTATTCATGAGAGTCACACACAGAGAGAGAGGCAGAGACACAGGCAGAGGGAGAAACAGGCTCCATGTAGGGAGCCCGTTGTGGGACTCGATCCTGGGACCCCAGGATCACACCCTGGGCCGAAGGCAGGCGCTAAACTGCTGAGGCACCCAGGGATCCCAGAAACTGTTTTTGATGAAAGGAGACTAAGGGCTGACTAAAGAGTCATGACAACTAAAGACAGGCACGATCCTTGATTGGATTTAAAAAATTAAGAGTCATGAAATTATCTGAACAACTGGAAAATTTGAACATAGACCTATACTGTTGTATTTTTTTAAATGATTTTATTTATTTATTTGAGAGAGAGAGAGAGTATGAGTGAAGAGGACAGAGGGAGAGGGAGAAGTAGATTCCCTGCCAAGTAGAGAGCCTGATGTGGGGTTCGATCCCAGGACCCTGGGATCAGGACCTGAGCTTAAGATAGACTCTTACCTGATTGAGCTACCCAAGAGCCCTATACTGTCATATTAATGTAAAATGTCTTCGATTTGATTATATATTGGGCTTCATAGCAGGATGTTCTTTTCCTTAGAAGACCAATGATGACATATTTTGGGGGTGAAGCATTGGGGTGTCTGTAATCTATTCTGGAATGATTCAGTAGAACATACATACACAGAGACATAAAACAAATGTGGCAAAATACCAACTGATGAATCTGTGTCTATGGGTGTTCAATGTACCATGTTCACAACTTTTATGTAGGTTTGAACATTTTCAAACTAAAAAATAGGGGAGAAGGTATTTAGACATCTCTTCCTACATGGTCTGGCAGAAAGAGCAGTTCATGAATGATAGCTTCTTATTACCTAACTTTTGCATCTACGTGGGGATGATTTCTCAAACCAGAGTGTGGCTGTAGCACAGTGGAATGACTGGCACAAGATGATGCTGGGGCCTTGCTGGAGCCTCCCAGGCTCTGCTTGGTCCCTCAAGGGCCGATGACAGTGCTTCCGACACAGAGAGGGCGCTCCTTCGCTCACACTCTGGGAGGAGGATGTCTGGGCCCACCCAGCCTGGGTGATGGGCCATATTCAGAGCCGGGCCTGCAGAGGTCTTCTCTGTGGAAGGTAAGAGATTAGAGCCGGAAATGATACTTTTAATCCCAGGCTTGCTGGAGGCTGCCTTCCAGGGATAGACCTTGAAAAGCAGATGGTAGTTTTGTGAGAATGAGAAGGAGGTGCTCCTTCCTCTGGGAGACCCAGCCTACGTCCTGGTCCTGGCTGCCCGATTGCATCAGCAGCCTGATGAAGCCCTTCTATGTAATATTAGCTTCCATTGATTGAGTGCCAGCCATGTTCTGTGACTAATTTTGAAACCTCACTACAACTCTTCGGGATAGATGTTATTTTGCTCCTTTCATTTGTGGGGAAACAGACTCAGAAAGGCGTAGACTTGTTGGGTTGGCCCAACTAGTAAGTGTCTGGGCAAGAGAGCAAGTTTCTGAATGTAGGGCTTCCTGACTTCCAAGCTCTCACCCCCTGCTGTTCTCCAGCGCTCTGTCTGTGCAGAGTTTGATGCCATGGAAAGTCCTTTTAGGGTAGTGAAGGTGACAGGTGAAAAAACTGAAACTCAGAGAAGGGACTTAGCAAGGTCATCAGAGGCTTGTGGCAGAGCCTGGACTGGAATGCAGGAATTGGGTTCTTCATCATCCTCAATACCTCAAGGACTCCCTTCCCAATAACCACTGGCGGCTGAGAGCCGCTTCCTCTAGGCAGCCTGGATGAGTTAGTACACGGGAATGCAGCCCCCTTCTAGCTCTGCTTTAGTGAAGGCATTCGATTGTTGGAAGTCTGCCTTTTGTGGGATTCCCACTCCTCACCGCCTGGCCCCTCTCTTGGTTCCACCTTTAGGACATCTCTCTCTTACCTGGCTGTGTTACCACCAGTCCAGGGTGACACCCCTTCTCTCCTGCTCCGCACTAGCAGACATTCCAGCTCTGTCTGGGACACTTCCTCCACTTCCCAAACCCCTGCTCTTAACTTTCTTTGTGGAATATCTCTCCTTCCCTCCAGGCTCCTCCTTTTTAAGAAGCAATTTGCTAACTGCCAGATGTCCATTGTGATTTCTGATTTCTTTTTCTGCAGAAGTTCCTTTTCCTTTATTCCCCTTACTACCATTTACCCATCTATCTGTCCATGTACTCTCTCATTCACTGATCCACCCATCCAACCATCTACCCAACCATCCATCCATCCATCCAACCACCCACATATCCACCTACTTATTCATCCTCCCATTCACATATGTACACACACACACACTCACTCCTATCCATCCATCCACGCACTCAGTCATCCACTAATCCACCCACCTACATGTCAATCTATTCATCTGTCCATCTATCCAACTATGTACCTCCATCTGTCCTTCCATTCACATACATATACATGCAAATTCACTGACACACACCTACATCCATCTATCCATCCGACTACTTATCTATCTAGCCATCCATCCTTCCATTCACACATAAGCACACAAGCACTCACCCACACATACA